AGCCCCTGCAGAAAAAGGTCCCTATGAGACTGTCGCCGCTACTCAGCAGAGTTGCTTTGGGACTCAAAGTGGCAGAGTGCTAGGCTTGAACTGTAGAGCTGAGGGACAGCACTCAGGCCCCGAGTTCAAGTCCAGTGACCAGCTAAAGGGAAATACCAAGGCATTTATCCCACTGTAGAGAAGACACTACTGGGACAAGAGCAATGGAGGAGCATCCAGAGGCAGTAAGCCACTGCTTGGATGGCAGAAATAATGTCAGATCCTAGAGTCATTTGTGAGTGGCCCTTCAAAAATTGGTCAGAGCCAGGAGGCCATGGAAAGATAGTTTGTAAGCATGCCTAATGTCCATGACTATCTACCTTGTAGGGACAGAAGCTTGTTAGTAATATGTGATAGTACTAAAAAGCTAAAGTTATAAAATATGGGGGATGGTTTAAATCCCAACCCCTGTATGTGCCAAAAGCCCTAATTGGCAGTAACTCCAGCTACATGAACTTTATCTGTTCAAGAAAAAGTTTGTAAACCTGAGAGTGTGTTTCTATTAATATCTGTCTAAAGGCCTGCACAGGTGACTTAGGCACTGTTAGGGTCACTAGAGGTCACATTCCTAAAGATGCTTTTACAAACCAGAGTGCTAAACAAGCTACACTGCTGTAGCTGGAGAAAAAGTCTATGCATTTGTCAAAAGCTAAAATATTGTTCTTAATGACATCTAACCCTGGTAACCTCTTTGTAAAATAGACTAAGGTTATAGGCTCCTGTCTAGGTAGGATCAACAGCCCTGAGTCAGCTTGAAGAAGTTACAGAAGATGAATCTTCGCCTATCATCCCCTTTTAAGAACAAGGACCAGAGTCATAAAAAAAAAAGTGGCAAAATAGACAAAAGAAAAAGGCATGGAAAATAGTAGTACAGGCCTGAGCCCTCTATATCTGCCTTAAAAAATCAGCCTTATTAAAAGAACTATCTAGTTAAAAAAGTTATCATCTTGGTAAATTGTCCTGGGCTATTGTCTAAATGGTCTTAAAAACCAGTGGGGCCACAGCCTGCCAAGCCTATGTATTACTTGTATCCTTAACCAGTCTGTGTAGAAATTTACAGCCCAGCACGAGGTGTGACAGTCCCTTGGAGCCACAGAGAGACTCTGCTGCTGCTGCTGCTACAGCCTGACAATCACCTGGAGGAAATCAACATAGTTACCCTGACCATGTCCAATGTAGAAAAAGTAGACTAAACTCCTGCCTGATTCCATCTTTTGGATGGCTTTGCTTTGTCCATGTTACCCTATATCTACTCTAATTTTATTATGGCTACTCCTCTTGCCGGGGAGACTAGCAAATATTGTATTGCTCATTCCCTACACTGCTTTGCCGCTATGGGACTTTCTAAACTTATTAAAACTGATAATGTTCCAGGATATGTCGGGAAAGCTTTTCAAACTTTTTGTAAATCTTACCAGATTGTTCACTCTACAGGTATTCCCTATAATCCTCAAGGACAAGAAATTGTTAAACAAGCTAACGGGCTGTTAAAACACCATTTTTTTTTAATTAAAAGGGGGGAATTATACCCCTTCTCTCCTGTTAATATTCTTCTCACACTTTATTTGTACTAACTTTTTAAAGCTTCGATTGTAATGGCCTTTCCGCAGCACAGCAGTTTGGGGGAAAAAAAGAGAGCAAAGAGCTTTTGCCCAAGTTAAGTGGAAGGATCCTTTAACAGGTGATTGGCACGGGCCCGATCCGGTTTTAACATGGGGTCGAGGACATGTTTGTGTTTTTTCTCAGGAAGAAAATAAATCCCACTGGTTGTCTGAGCATTGCATTAGGATTGTGGAGGCTCATACAGATGACACAAACCCTGACATATTGGGCTTACATGCCGGATCCCCTGACTGTGCACCCTACAACTTGGGAGGGGGTTGAAGTACTCATTCACGTCAATAGACCAACAGTACAACCCCCGATCCCTTCATCCAGCACACCAAGGTGGGAGATATTTCAGCTTCAGGCATTGGAACTCCTTTATGCTTTACCACCAGCTCTAAAGGCTCCATTCCAGGCTGTATTATAATGCTATCCATGACTCATAAAATTTGGATCCCGGACAAAAATCAAATGTGCAATATACAGATGACATCTTTGCCAACTGGGCACCCAGTTTATGCAAATTCTATTCCATCCTATATGATACCCCGTTGCATTAATTCTTCACAAATAGTAGAGCTTCATCCAATAAGGTGCAGGCATGTACAGCCATTTGTTACCAATATTTCTGGAACTAACTCTCAATTAATGGACTGGTCTGGAGCTAATCTTACTAATAAGTACAATCTTGGACTGTGGTGGATGAATGGGCATCCTCAGCAACATGTTTGAATGCTCTTGGCTGCATTTAGCAACATAATCTGGACCCATTCATCCTTTTTTTTAAAAAAAATTATTAGTTGTGTATCACTACCCTATGCCATTATGTATGGACCATTTAATATTTCTGTAGGAGCTAATTATTTTAATGTTACCTGCTCTAATTGTTCTTTTACTAATTGCTCGTATCACAGCATAACTGAATCCATACTTATTGTTAGACAACCACCTTTTGTTATGCTTCCTGTAAATATTTCTGAAACTTGATATGAAGATCCTGGCATTCAGGTGTTAAGACAATTGAAAGAACTAATGCGCCCTCACCGATTTGTTGGGCTACTTGTAGCTGATATTTTGGCCTTTATTTTGTTAGCTGCCTCCGCAGTGGCAGCTGCTGTGGACCTAATAAAATATGTACAACTGCCCATTATCTTAATCAGCTTGCTCATAATACTAAACTGGCTCTACACTTTCAAGGCCAGGTTGATGACAAGGTAGAACAAAAACTAGAAGCATTGTATGAGTCAGTATTATCTTTAGAACAAGTCTGTGCTCTGCAAACTTTACAGCGAGTGCGCTGTCATGCCAGGTTTGATTTTATTTGTGTTACCCCTCATATATATAATGAATCAAATTACTCATGGGAAAAAGTTGTAGCACATCTCAATGGTATTTGGCACCATAATGACCTACCTTTAGATCTTTTTCAACTCCACAGACAAATATCCAGATTAGAACAAGCCCTACCTCTGGACTCTAAAGTGGAAAAATCTGCTAAAAAACTGTTTAAACAATTTCAATGCTATATCCTTCCCTGATTTGTTAAAGGATTGCTAATGTCATTGCTTGGCCCGGGAATGCTTTAGCTGATGGTTTTTCTATGCCTTCCTTGTATCATACATGCACTGCAAAACTCTCTTATGAGTTTAGCCAGCCAGCTACATAAGATCAAGCTCCATATAAATGAATTCTCCCCAAGAGGAACTGCAGCCAGAGATGGGTAAGAGGGGGTGCCAGTTTGACCAACCTAAGACAGGGCCTTTGGCTTCGCTCTGAAGAAGTTCCGATGGATGACCGGTAAGACAGACAAGGCTATCCACCCAACCTAAGACAGGCAGGTTCTAATAGTATATATTAGTGTGTGTGTATATATATAAATATATATATATATATATATAAATTTAGAGAGAGAAAGAGAGAGAGTATATAGTTCTAATAGTATGTATTAGGGAATGTTAAAAATAAAAGGTGGTGCAGTCTTGAGCTGCAGACCTCCCGACCCCATCCTTTGTTTTATGTTTTTCTTTTTCCTCATCCTCGCCCCCTAAATCAGGATTCCCTTTCCTTGCCGGCAGGCTCCGGCACAATGGCTCATGCCTAGCTACTCAGGAGGCTGAGATCTGTGGATTCAAGTTTGAAGAAAGCCCAGGCTGGCAAATTCTAGAGACTCTTACCTCCAATTAACCAACACAAAGCCAGAAGTAAAGGTGTGGCTCAAGTGGCACAAGACTAAATGACAACTGAAGGCCCTGAGTTAAAGCCCCAGTACTATCACAAAATAAATATAAGACTTGCTGGAATCTAATATGCCCATGTCTGAGGCATGTGTCATATTTTGTGGGGATTTTTTATGTTTAAACAATAAGAAATTTGCTAGGTGGGGCTGGGAAGGTGGCTCAGTGGTAGAGCGCTTGCCTTGCATGCTCGAGGCCCTGGGTTTGATTCCTCAGCACCACATAAGCAAAAAGAAAAAAGCCGGAAGTGGCACTGTGGCTCAAGTGGTAGAGCGCTAGCCTTGAGCTGCAGAGCTGAGGGACAGCGCCCAGGCCCAGAGTTCAGGCCCCACGACCGACCAAAAAAAAAAAAAAAGAAAGAAAGAAATTTGCAAGGTATAGTGGCTAATGCCTGGAATCCTAGCTACTCAGGAGGCTAAGATACAGAGGGCTGTAGTTTGAGGCCAGCCCATGCAGACAAGTTTCTGAGACTCCATCTCCAAAATAACCAGCAAAAAGCTAGGCTCCTGGTGGTGTTTGTGTATGCCTTTTTTGCTTTTTTAGCTTTTTAGCAAGGCAAAAGAGGGTACAGTTAGGGAATGAGGAAGGGTTAATGAATACAATCATGGTATTCAGTATAGGCTATGTGGAAAATGAACTATACCCCTATGTGGGAAGGGAGGGAGCCAAGAACTGGAGGAAAGTGAAGGAAGGAGTGACATTGCCCAAAAGAGAAATGTCCACATTACCCGAATTCTCAATTGTGAAATGGTAATCTCGCTGTACAATAACTCAATCATAACAATAAAATTCTAGTTTGACAAAAGGAGCTAGAAAGTGGTGCTGTGGCTCAAGTGATAGAGCGCTTGCCTTGAGCTGAAGAGCTGAGGGACAGCGCCCAGGCCCAGAGTTCAAGCCCCGCCACTGACAAATATAAAATTAAACGAGGCTGAAAATGTGGTTTGTGAGGTGGAGCATCAAGTTGAGCAAGCGGGAAACTCAAATCCCTGAGTTCCAACCCCAGAACCAGAAAGGAAACAAAGAAAAAGAAGAAATCAAATAAAACATGCCTTATAAGAGCTGCTGGAAATGAGTATCTCCTACTCCCTCCCAATGGAATCGCAAGTGAGAGCAGTTACTTACAAACACAAGTCCTCCGAACGTCAGCATGGTAGGGCCAATGTTAATTAGAGTGGTCACTATCACTCGGAATCTAGGGTAAAACAAAACTATGACATGAGGTGAGGGGGAACATGGGGAGCAAAACTGACCCCAAATGAGCACACTTGGTTCAACAGCCCCTCCCCAGTTCTCTATCTGTCCTCTAAGAGATTGGCTTTCTTGGCTTTGTCACCCACCAGGAATAAGGGAAGTTAGCTAGCTGTTTCTCAGATGCAAGTGAGGCAGGCTTGACAAACATCAAAAAGGGACTTACAGAACTATTCTCCAACAAGCACAGGTGGATGATCGGACTGGAAAGCTCCTGAGCCTCCAGCTGCTTCACCCCCCGCCCCTCCATCTTTTCCCCCATCAAAGTCTAGCCTGATCAAGGCCACCCTGGAGCTCTCTGTCTATAATGGGGTACTTTCTGGATGAGCGGGCCTTGAGGGATGTACATGAAGATCATGTAAGAGGTAAGCCTGGGCAAAAAGACTGGCAAGACCCAATCTCAACAAACAAGATTAGCATCATAGTTCACATCTGTAATGCCAACTACAAAGAAGATGGCTTGTGTTCTGAGCAAGGCTCCAGACAAAAAGCATGAGACCCTATCTGAAAAATAACTAAAGCAAAAAAAGAGATGGGGAGGTGACTCAGCCAGTAAAGCACCTGCCTAGCAAGTTTAAAGCCTCAAGTACAAACCATAGTATACCTTCTTACCCCTCAAAAAAGCGAGGCTAGAGTTTATCCAGGCTTTTGAGTCATACTCTTATACTCCTGGGTTTGTATCTTGGTTCAACTCTTCCTAGCTGTGTTCTCCTGGGGAAATGATAACCTCTCTGAGTCTTCTCCAAAAACCAGGCCTAAAAACATGTCCCTTTAGCAAGGTTTATTAACAAGGAAATGGTCAGTGCCCTTGAGCTAACATTAGCTGCCATCAGAACCCAGTCACTATACAGGGATGGTCACAGGGATGACAGTGACCCACATGGTGCCTGCTCTCAGGACGCTGACCTTTGAGTGTTCTTCACCCAACCTCACTGTTCCCTGCTGCCCCCACTTCCCAGAAATCCCCAGGTCCTCCAGGTGCTGGGTTCAAGGCAGAGGGATTTGCAGTTGTGAGTCAGGATTTCTTCCCACCAGGGAGCCTCCAGGTGGAGACAGAGAGCCAGCTTCCTGGGTACCTCTGAATGCTGATAATGACTCTCAGGAGACGCAGTATCCTCAATATCAAGACAATGTCCAGTATCTGCTGACTGTTGTATTTTCTTGCTGGAGAAGAAACAGTACTTTACTATCACAATTCCCACCTGCATGTCCACTGAGCCTCCAGATGCCCCTTTAGGTCAATGACATCTGAGGCTCTTTGGGATCTGGTGAACAGGCGTTGCCCAGGATTCACCCTGAGCCATCCCTGTGAAGCAAACTGGTGGGCAGGGAGGATTCAGGAGTCTTTTCCTTCCCTCCCTCCCTCCCTCCCTCCTTTCCTTCCTTCCTTCCTTCCTTCCTTCCTTCCTTCCTTTCTTCCTTCCTTCCTTTTTTCCTTTCCTCCCTCCCTCCCTCTCTTTCCCTCCCTCCTTCCCTTCCTCTCTCTCTATGTCCCTTCCTCCCTCTCATTCCTCCTTCCCTCCTTCCCTTCCTCCCTGCCACCCTCTCTCTCCCTCCCTCTTTCAGTCCCTCCCTTCCTCCCTCTCTCTTTCTACCTCCCTCCCTCTCTCTCTCCTTTCCTGTTTGCCTTCTTTGCTTCCTTCCTTCCTGTCATACTGGGGCTTGACCCCAGGGCCTGTACACTGTGTCTCAGCTTTTTTGCTCAAAGCTAGTCTCTATCACTTGATCCACAGCTCCACTTTTGGATTTTGGGTGGTTAATTGGAGAAAAGAGTCTCATGGACTTTCCTGTCCTGGGCTGGCTTCTAGCTGCGATCCTCAGATCTCAGCCTCCTGAGTAGCTAGGATTATCAGTGTGAGCCACCTCCAGGCAAATGGCAAGGTTCTTGCTAAGGTTGGAACCCCAGAGGGAGGCCCAATCGGGAAAGTCAAAGAGTAGATTCAGTCCTGAGACTGAGGTCCAGTGTGGAGAGCTGAGTATTTGGTGTGATAGTCATAGATGTAGATCAATACAGTCTCAGAAATACTGCACAAAGCCACCATCATTCTAGAACCTCTGTGTGTGTGTGTGTGTGTGTGTGTGTGTGTGTGTGTGTGTGTGCTCAGGATGGAACTCAGAACCGCATGCATGCTAGGAAAGTACCTTACCAAAGAACTGTATTCCCAACCCTTTGGAATATTTTCAATAAAATTTTTCAATAACACTTTTCCATATCTGAACAGTGTATGGATGGATGCTCAACAAAGAAGACGTATTGAATATGGGTCCTGGCAGGTAGGAAAGCTGAAGGCTGGTGGCACTGACCTGACTGAATAGTGGCATTGGCCACCGTGGCCAGCAGGGCCGCAATAATGATCAGCATGTCAAACCTAACAGGAAAAGCAAAGGTGGTTAAGAGTGAAGGGGAAGGCCTGGATCAAACCAAGGATATGATAGGCTGTGGAGAAACTTTGAATGCAGCACCTTAATCAAAGCAATGATCCAGTTATAAAACTAATGACTATGATCATCCATTGACTACTACAAAGATTTATACAAAGGATTCACACCACTCTAGCTGTCTTCCACAATGAAGATACACACACACACACACACACACACACACATATTTATTCTGATACTGTGGCTTGAACTCAGAGCTTTGAGCTCTCATTCAGTTCTACCACTTGGCCACACCTCCAGTCTGGCATTCTGCTGATTCATTTCAGATAATAGTTTTGTAGGTTTTTCTGCCTAGGCTAGCCTTCGAACCACAATCCTCACATCTCAGCCTCCTACCAGCATCCAACAAATCTTTTTAAACCACTTTGATTCATTTTCAGAGTACATAGTACAATCTTTCTGGGTACTCATTTTACTAAGTTCATTGTCACTTTTTAATTCAAGTTCATTGTGTCCTGGCTTTTCTCTCTGACCAGGATGCCAAAGAGCCAACAAACATTGAGCAATACTGACCAACCAGTTACCTTTCAGCAACACACTCTTTCTAACAAGGTTTAGAGCAGTGACCACTGAGATCCAACCCTTCTTAGTGCCAGTCATGTGACTATTTGTGCTCCACAGTGCACCAGCCACCACCATAGAAGACGCCCACAGGGAGACACCATGCCCAGCCAGGGGATGAGCTTGTCAACAGCTTGGTCCAGCTTCACAGGCTCATATATGCTGTCTCCTCATACATGCTGTTCAAAGACTGTGTAATCAAAAAGCACATTTGGTTTTCATCCCTTGTTCTTAGTCAGAACTCCTGAAATCCATGTAACTGTGGTGCTAACTCTAGGTGGCCACTCTCAGCACTGAATCCAAGTCTGGGAAAACCTAACTATAGTTCAGAGAGCTGACAACTATTTGTGGCACAGATGAAACCTACACATTTGGTGTCAGAAGTGTTGATATAAATGTCATAAGAATCCTTTCCAACTCCATCATGTTGTGACCCAGTCTGAACTGACATCATGACCAATGGAGACCAGATGTCTCCTCCCTTGAGATCTCATGATGTCATCCCTCAAAACTGGAACATGCAGGCCTTCAGACACATGCCTTGATTGTGCCAGAAAGTCCCCTCATGCCCCACAGAGAGCCCTCTTCTCCCCAGAATGCTCATACTTACCAGTTCCAAAACTGCTTTCTTCCGAAATAGGCCCTGGGCTCGTACGTGTACAGCTTCAGGAGAATCTCAACCACATAGAGAGAGAGGAAAAGCCATTCCACGTAGGAAATTAAGGGGTTTTTCTCATCCAAGGCGATGAATATGGCATTGATTAAGATGATGACATCATAAACCCAGATGAAAATCCTGGCCCAAGAGGAAGAAAGAGATCCTGTCATCCCCTATTGCACTGAAAGGAATACGAGTCTCTCCAGTGCCTAATCAGGCTACTTTATTCCTGTGCAACATGATAAATGTGCAATCTCAACACACACACACACACACACACACACACACACACACACACACACACACACACCTCATCTATGGAAGGTTCTGGGTCCTAAAAATCACCACCTCCTGCAGAGCCTCACGTATCCTTTCTCTCCCAAAGAAAATGAAGACAGAGTGAGGGACAGAGGGGAGCTATGGTCTTCCTAGAGTCCCTAGGAAACATCAAAGAATATCTAGAAGCCTGTTCCCTCAGCAAAGGTCAATTGTAATGTGTTAGAACCTTTCCCACTCCTCCTGGGAAACAAAAGGCAGTGATCAGGGTATGGATTCAAAGCATCAGTGACCAAGCACACTCAGTCCGGGTGGTGTTAAGAATCTTCTATTTATAATGCAACTTGGGAGAAAACTGGCCCCGGGTCACTTGCCTGTGCCGAACCATCCTCTGGACCAGGAGACTGACAGACGACTGGTACACCCGTGGCAGCCAGGCTTCCAGCGGATGTCTCTTGATGTTGATGGTGACCACCTGGATGTTGAGGAGGTCAGCCAGGCGGAGAAAGTTCGTTTTGTCTGCAAACAAAAAGGCGACCCACAATTCATGCTGTGACACTAACAAAGAGAGAAGCCAAGTTACCACAGATGCTCAGCTCTGCACTGTACACAGAGAGCAACCTGAACCCCCAAAGACCAAGAAGCCAGTGGCAGGCTGAGCCAACCCGAGGTTCCCCAGAACTCTTACCTGTCCTTATTCAAACCCTCCACCAACTCACAGTAGCAGAAGGAACTCTTACTCAGGGAGCTCATTCATCATTCATGTCAAGGTACCAGGGGGATTTTCTTCACCCATCTGGATCCACCAACTCATGAGCCAATGTTCTCATGATCCTCTGAACGCCCAGGACTAGCAGGCCACTCTCACCACCCCAAGTATCTCTCTCCCATCAAGCTGGTTCCCAAAGCTATTTGTACATGAACTTCCAGTAACAAGGCGGCTCATGCCTGTAATCCTAGCTACGTCAGTGATTGAAATCTTAGGAACAAAGTTCGGAGGCAGCCTGGGCAGATGAAGCCCCTGGATTTGTCTCCAAATTTTATCTCCAATTAGCCAGCAAAAAGCTAGAAATTGAGGCATGGCTCAAGTAGTAGAGCATCAGCCTTGAGCAAAAACAATAAGCAAAAGAGCCCTGGCCTGGAGTTTAAACCCCAATACTGACATACACACATACACACAAGTATCCATATATCACATCAATGGATGAAGTCAGACAAAAAGAATAAACACATTTGGATCTGTCCAATTTCCAGGTCTGTAGAGTTAAAAGGAAAACACATTCCTACAGGTTAATGGTAACATATGTCTAAGGCACTTGGGTGAAATATACCTAGATAATTAGAAGATATGCATAACTTGAGTCCAAAGATCTGGATGTGAGCTCCACCACCAGATGTACAGCTCAGGGTAACCTACCAGGCTCACTACAAGGAATCCAGCCTAAATCTCAGGCTGCTAAATAATCTCAATCAACAGGAAATTCATCAATCTCATTGGATCCACATCCTTCGATCCAGAAAATTCAGCAATGCAAGAAAGATCAAAAACCAAAACAAGCAAACTAAAAAAAACCCCCAAAACCCCAAGACAATAGTAATTTTGTGTTAGGAAGGATCTGCCATGAAATGTTGAATCTTAGGCATTATCAAGCTCTTTGTACAAAAGTCTGGCAGTAAATTTGCTAGGCTTTTCAGGCCACCCAGTCTCAGTCACAGCTATCTAATTCTGCTGCTACAGCACCAAAGCAGCCACAGGCAGCATGTAAACAAATAAGTGTGGCTAAGTTCCAATAAAACTTTATTTCCAAAAACAGATGGTAGTTGGCCTGTGGACCTCAGTTACAGATACAATATTTACCTCATGGTCTCCTTTTTAACAATGCTTAAATACTATGCAATACATGTGTACATATATACATATATATGCCTATCTATTCAATACACATATCAAACGTACATGTAATACATATCAAAACATTTTTGCAAATAACAAAATGCCAGTGGTACCCCATAAATATAGGCAATATTTATGCTATTATGTACCTGTTAAAATATTAGAAATTTAACTTTTAAAGATTTGAAACAAGAAATAAATATAGCAAGGGAGAAAAATAATTCTATTCTGGCCTTTTCTCTCTCCATATGTAGATTTTATGTTTCTCAGTTTAACACTAGCTCTAAGTTTCAATACTTTCAGCACTGACAGATTCCCAATATGTAACTTAGAAATCCACAAGGCCCCAGATGAGAAGTCTCAGAGAAGTACTGCCAACCCTTGCCTGTACTGACGTGATGCGGTAACATGCTGGGGTCCTGTTTGGCTTTTTGTTATGAAAACTGTCTTTGAAAGTATTACTTAGCAGAGGAGATTTTTCCCCAGAAGACAGAAGGCGAGCAGCTAGCAGAAAGGACTGCTCTGCCTAGAAAAATAAAACCTACTATCCCCACAAATTTGATTGCCTATCTTTCTTAAAACTGGCTCTGCTCTGGTAATGATACTTAAAGTGACACCTCTGTTTTGTGAAAAGTAAACTATTAGGCAAGTCTGTTAAGACAGAAAGCTCACTGGAAGATTTCTTGCTGTATCTATGGAGCTATAATAGAATGTAGACTGATGAATTCCTTTTTCAAACTAGATCGGTCTTAGCCTCATCTAATTTATAAATAGGACCACATCTCAAATGACAAAACAGAAAGGCTAAAGGCTAAAGGACAGCCACCTTGCTGACTTGAAGCAATTAGAAACTGCCTTAGTTATGTTATATTTGCCACTCTAAAATGTTTAGAATACAGTTAGTTCTCTGTATCTGTAGATCCCATAGCCATAGATTCAACTAACCACAGGTCAAAAATATTTGAGGGAGCCAGATACCAATGTAATGTGGCTACTCAGGAAACTGAGCTATGCGGAACATGGTTCAAAGCTAAGCCAGCAAGAAAAACTCTGTGAGTCTCTCTTCAAAATAACCAGCAAAAGAGATAGACTGATCTGATCATAGAAAACAATTTTTATCAAAATGAACTCCAGGAAACAGAAACAAGAGGTATTGTGTTTTTTTCCTTAGTCGTTTTTGCTTTCTTTTCTTTTTGACTTGTTTGTTCATTTATCTGTCTTTGGAAGGGTAAAGGGGACATGGAAAGGGAGGACAAAGGGTAAACAAATGAAGCAGTGATACTCACTAGACATTATGTTGAAAATGAATGATGCGGGTTGGGAATGTGGCTTAGTGGAAGAGTGCTTGCCTAGCATGAACGAAGCCCTGGGTTGGATTCCTCAGTACCACACAAACAGAAAAAGCCAGAAGTGGCACTGTGGCTCAAGTGGTAGTGTGCCAGCCTTGAGCAAAAGAAGCTCAGGGACAGTACCCTGAGATTAAGCCCTATGACTGGCAAAAATAAAATAAAATAAAATAGAAAATAAACTATACAAATTGTGGGTGGAAACACAAGGGGAAAACTGGGAGAGAGAGAGGGAAGGGGTAACATTGTCCAAAAAGAAATGTACTCTTGGGCTGGGAAGGTGGCTCAGTGGTAGAGCGCTTGCCTTGCATGCATGAGGCCCTGGGTTCAATTCCTCAGCACCACATAAGCAAAAAGAAAAAAGCTGGAAGTGGCGCTGTGGTTCAAGTGGTAGAGCGCTAGCCTTGAGCTGAAGAGCTGAGGGGCAGCACCCAGGCCCAGAGTTCAGGCCCCATGACCAGACCCAAAAAAAAAAAAAAGAAATGTACTCTTAGCTGAGTACTGGTGACTCAGGCTTGTAACCATAGCTACTCAAGAGGCTGAACTCTGAGGATCGGGTTCAAAGCCAGGGCATGAAAGTCTGTGAGACTCTTATATCCAATTAACCACTAGGAAACTGGAAGTGGCGCTGTGGCTCAAGTGGTAGAGCACTCACCTTGAGCTGAAGAGCTCAGGGACAATGCCAAGGCCCAGAGTTCAAGCACCATGATTGACAAAAAAGAGAGAGAGAGAGAAAAGAAAAGAAAAGAAATATACTCTTGCCAGGCGCCAGTGGCTCATACCTGTAATCCTAGCTATTCAGGAGGCTGAGATTGGAAGATCATGGTTTGAAGCCAGCCCAGGCAGAAAAGTCCCCATGAGACTCTTATCTCCAATCAACAACTCAAAATACAGAAGTGGTTCTGTGGCTCAAAGTGGTAGAATACTAGCCTTGAGCAAAAGAGCTCAGGGTCAGTGCCCAGGCCCTGAGTTCAAGCCCCACAATGGAGGAGGAGGGGGAGGGGGAGGGGGGAGGGGGGGAGGGGGGAGGGGGAGGGGGAGGGGGAGGGGGAGGGGGAGGAGGAGGAGGAGGAGGAGGAGGAGGAGGAGGAACAACTCTTTACCTGAACTCTGCTTAGGTGGTGCTGAGGAATCGAACCCAGGGCCTCATGCATGGGAAGCAAGCACTCTACCACTAAGCCAACTTCCCAGCCCTACCTGTAACTTTTTAACTATAACCCCTCTATATAATAATTTAAAAATAAAAACTAAAACACACAGACAAAAAGAGATGGATTGGAGGTGTGGTTCAAGTGTTAGAGCACCACTGTGAGCAGGAAGTGGAGGACAAGCAGGAGCTCTGAGCCCTGGGTTCAAACTCCAGGACTGGCATAAAAAATATCTGAGGAGAAAATATTCATGTTGAATAATTATCATGACAACTACTTCTCAGTCAGCTACCTCATACAATTAGGTATTGCAAGGGATCTAGAGATGATTTTAAGTATACAGGACGTGTGTATGTCATATGCCTTATGTCATTTTTTTTTTGGGAGGGGGGTCCGGTCGTGGGGCCTGAACTCTGGGCCTGGGCACTGTCCCTCAGCTCTTCAGCTCAAGGCCAGTGCTCTACCACGTGAGCCACAGCACCACTTTCGGTTTTTTTCTTTTTGCTTACGTGGTGCTGAGGAATCGAACCCAGGGCCTCCTGCATGCAAGGCACGCGCTCTACCACTGAGCCACCTTCCCAGCCCATGTCATTTTTTCTAATGGGCTTGAGCATCCTTGGATTCTGGTGGCGCAGTGGGATGGGGAAAAGGGGAGTCCTTGAACCAGTCCCCAACAGACAGCAGAAGATGCTGTAGCATTGCTGTTGGACCCACCACTTTTGAAAGCCCGAGGAAGAGGATCATCAGAGGTGAAAACTCCTTACCCACGTGCCCCTTCTGTCCCTCATCAGAGATCCTCAAAAGTAGCTCCAGGTGGGAGCTGCTGATGTCTGGCACCACCACCTTTGCCAGCTGTTTCCACACAGCCTCCTTCACCACAAACTCCGGGCCCACCTTGACTTTAAGAATGTTGAATGCCTCGATCATTTTGTGACGTTTTAGGTATGCCAATTTGCGAATCTCATTCTGGAAAAAAAAAAATCGGAGTTGGGTATTTTAAGAGAAGTAGAAAGGTTCAACAAAATATCATTTCTTCAACTCCACATGTGTGAAAGTCACGGAGGAACCAAGAAAAGGCACTCATAGGTCTGCTAATAAATAGACCCGAGTATCTATTCCCTCCATCCCCATCTACTGAGCTAACACTATCTGTATCCACACAAACTCTCTTACCAAGTCTCAATGAGGGGGCTCATGGAGGAAAATCTGTATGTTGAGAAGCAGAGCAACAGGACAGCTCCAAATTCCACTCTGCTCAGGAGGAAGTAGATTCCAGAAAGGAAAGAGATTGGGTGTGCTGTTGAGAAGAGAGAAACAGGGACTAAAAAAGGAGAGTCTCAGTGCAGAAGGAGAGGAGGTGAAGGAAGAGTTCCTAGATGGGAATGACAGCTGGGATTGGCCCAGGATGCTATGTGGTCTGAGCAAAGGGAATTTTCTAGAAACTAGGATAATCAACAGTCCTCTTTAGGTAATAACTAGATAAAGAATTCCTATTTCCACTCTTACAGCTCCATAAGACTGTCACCCAATATTGCTACCAGTTAATGATGGCAACTAGATTGCACATTCTTAAAGGGCAATGCTTGGGTCTTAAGCATCTTTGGTTCTCCAGAATCTGAATGGTGATGAGCATGTAAAGTACTTCTGAGATCCATTTGCTGATGAACACATGCAGCAGGTTTATTTCCCAGGGGGAGAGGAAGGCATAGCCACAATTCCTTCCAGCAGCGACAGAAGAGACACATAAGATACTCTGGAATGGCCTCTTGTACCAGAGGGAGGAAGAGGCCAGAGAAAGCCTGACCTGTGGGTCAGAAGGTACCAAGGTTCCTTAGGGCCTGAATGAAGCCAAACACAAGATCTGACTGGCCCTACCACCCACACCCTTATCTTTTTTTTTTTTTTTTTGTCCTGGGCTTTTCTTTTTTTTTCCCACCCCCTTATCTTAAACTGAGACTTTGAAGTTCTTTCCAACTTCCTGCTTGCCCCAGAGTGGTAATATGTGGACAAAGTGGAGAATTCAGGACAAAACCAAAAAGTTAAAAGGTTGTCTTTCCTTAAGAAAAGTCACCTTTTTACATGAAGTTTGTCTGTGCATCAAGTTTCACAATAAAAGAAACAGCCACTCAGAGGTGTATGTTCAGGTAGCTATGAAGGAAATGGTGGACGTGACCTGGAGAATTTCCACATGCAAATAAAATTTTCTTCCATCCCAAGTACTTAGAAGCTGACCAAAAACCTGCCTACTCTGCCTACCAAACACATCCAGGTATTTCTAAACATAAGTCTAATATGTACAACCAGAAAAGAAATAGTTTTAAGAACATTCACTTCAGCCAGGCACAGTGGTTCATGGCTATAATTCCAGCTACTCAACAAGTAGAAACTATGAGGATTGAACTTTGAGGCCAGCCCATGCAAACAGTTATTGACTCCCCATCTCAATAAAAGAGTTAGGGGCGGGAGCCAGTGACTCACACCTGTGAGTCTAGCTACTCAGGAGGCTGAGATCTGAGGATCACCATTTAAAGCCAGCCAGGGCAGAAAAGTCTCCCTGAGACTCTTATCTCCAATCAACAACTCAAAAACCTGAAGTGGTGCTGTGGCTTAAGAAGTTAGCCTTCAGCACAAATAGGCTTAGGGACAGTGCCCAGGCCCTGAGTTCAAGACCCACAGCCAACAAAAAAATAAATAAATAAGAATTAATGAGCTAGAGGGCTGGGAAGGTGGCTCAGTGGTAGAGCGCTTGCCTTGTATGCATGAGGCCCTGGGTTCGATTCCTCAGCACCACATAAGCAAAAAGAAAAAAGCCGGAAGTGGTGCTGTGGCTCAAGTGGTAGAGCGCTAGCCTTGAGCTGAAGAGCTGAGGGACAGCGCCCAGGCCCAGAGTTCAGGCTCCACGACCGGACCCAAAAAAAAAATTAATGAGATAGACATGGTGATATATTCCTGTAATTATAAGTGTTTAGAATGCTTAGGTAGAAGGATATTAGTTCAAAGGTCAGCCCAGGCAAAAACATGAGATCCTACCTGTAAAAATATCTGTAAAATAGCCTAACGCAAAAGGACTGGAGGCATCATTGAGAACTTGCTTAATAACTGCAAGGCTCTGAGTTTAAACCCAGTACCACTAAATATGGGTGTGTGTATAATATAAATAAAAATATAAATAAATAGTTATTATAGTGTGTGTTATAAAATAATATGTAATAAAATAATGATAGTAAATATAAATGAATATAAATGTATATTATCAAATATACAAATCAAATATATATATGTAAATATATATATATATATATATATGATAAAGAGTATCTGTTGGGTGCTGGTGGCTAAAGCCTATAATCCTTGCTACTCGAGAGGCTGAAATCCAAAGATAGCAATACAAAGCCAGCAGAGACAAGGAAGTCCATGGGACTCTCCTCTTCAATTAACCAACCAAAAAGTATTGCTGTGGCTCAAGTGGTAGAGTATTAGCCTTGAGCATAAACACTCAGGGACAGGGACAGCATATAGGCCCTGAGTTTAAGCCTCAGAACAAGCAAGCAACCAAGAGAGAAAGAAAAGAAGGAAGGAAGGAAGGGAAGGAAGGAAGGAAGGAAGGAAGGAAGGAAGGAAGGAAGGAAGGAAAGGAGGGAGGGAAGGAGGGAGGGAGGGAGGGAGGGAGGGAGGAAGGAAGGAAGGAAGGAAGGAAGGGAGGGAGGGAGGGAGGGAGGGAGGGAGGAAGGGAGGAAAGGAAGGAAGGAAGGAAGAGAAAGAGAGAAAGAGGGAGGAGGGAGGAAGGGAGGAAAGGAAGGAAGGAAGAAAGGAAAAGAAAGAAGGAAAGAGAGAGAGAGAGACAAAGAGAAAGTTAACCTTTATTTGAAGGCAAAGAAGTTAGAAGCTTGAAGAATGTTCCCAGTTCCCTATCACACAAATAATTCTGTCAAGATCCATGAGCTATTTCAGTGCATTAAGGAGGAATTTCAGGCAGGTGCCCGGCAAGACCTCCATCTATGGTTCTTTTCACCAATTCCATCAGACTTGTTGTGAAGAATGATGAAGAAATGCCCCACTTAGCAGAAGAAAGCATGGTGCTAATAAAAACCTTCAGATCTATCAGAGAAAATACTAGAGGACATTTCCAAATATTTAGCAAATATGCTCGCAGTCTCCCGCCCAATCACTGTGCTCTGCCCCCACAAACCTCCAACCTCTGACTTACCTTTAAGTGCTTCCGGTAATTGTTGTAGACCACAGCCAGAAAGACAGACATGAAGATGTAGGTGTTGATGATGATGTAGGTAATAAAGTACAAAGAGTACCACCAGTTGAAGTTGTAGGCAGGCATCCTGGAAGGAAATGATGTCTCTTGGATTTTCATACCCAAGTTCTACAATGCACACATAGCTGACCTTGGTCATATCCCACATGCACCATCTGTGTGTGTGAAGTTCAGCAAGCTTCTGATCTCTTCCTCTCAGTTGCATGTGTGGTGCAATTGGGCCTCAAAACCATGCCATTCCTAATCTTAAGCGGTTCATTCCAACCAGCCACTTTAAAATTCTTAGTACATTGCAGAAACACCAACATTCACCATAGGTAGTACCTTAACCATCTCCCAATCCAATCTTGACCCTTTACAATGAAAAATCCATTCCTCTAGTCAGGTGCCAGTGGCTCACACATGTAATCCTAACTACTCCAGGGGCTGAGATCTGTGGATCCAAATTTGAAGTTAGCCCAGCCAAGAAAATCCGTGAGACTCTTAGCTACAATTAAACACCAAAAAAAGCTGGAAGTTGAGCTGTGGCTCAAGTGGTAGAGCACTAGCCTTGAGCACAAAAACTCAAAGATGGTGCCCAGGGAGACAGGGAGAGAGGAGATAGGGGAAAGAGAGAGAGAGAGTAAAAGATGGGAGAGAGAGGATATTGTGACAGGACAAGAGGCTTATGTTGAGACCACTTTGAGTGGAAACAAGATTTCCTCAGGAGGAGATCTCACAGAGTTCTGGCATCATTTGCTGTGGGGGTCTAGAGGGCAAGACTCAAGGAAACATAGCAGGGTGGGAAACTCCAATTTGCTTATGTTTCCACCAATGACAGAAAGGACTAATATGAAACCAAGATCAAGTTGGTGGAACAGGCCTTCATGTCATAGAGGACAGACCCCACCACTTCCTGATGGGTTTCATGCAGCTGTGCTCCGCAAGCTCACAGCTGAGTAACTACACAGCTGCTCACAAGGTAATCACACAACAATGGGAAGTTAGAAGATAACCCTGGTTTTCCTCCTACTCAATGTTCCCAAGCGTGGAGAACTGGCATTGCAGAGGAAGGGGTGAGATGCTGTTTCCCTTGCTTTACTGTCTCTTGTAGATAAAGCTACTGCCTCAAGAATAGGGCAACTGGCCCTGGCTCCTTCACAAAGACTGAAATCTCTACATTCAAGATTTAGAGAAGATTCTGGAAGAGAAAGTGGGCTTTCCTACTTAAGCATGGAATCTCAAACTGCTTTTGATTTAAAAACAATAAAACCATCTAAATGCAGCTTTAAGATCGAGGGTAGGCTATTAATAGTGTAAAATTTTATGTTCTTCTCTATCTTTACAATGATTATGACTAAACAGAAAATTGCTTTTCCCTCTCTTAGCCCTGCCAGTGTCGGGAAAAGTTGCCTTTTTGTTTTGTTTTGCTGTGCTGGAGATTGAACCCACAGCCCCACACATGCTAGGCAATCACATTACCATTAAGCTACCCCTCAGCTCAACAGCTGCTATTATTAACACAAATTCCATTACAGACATCCATGAATATAGATCTGGGATAGGCATACATGACATCGGGACTGTTGGCAGTAGTGACCAGCACGTATAGCTCAAAGGCTATATCTAAAATGTTTGTGAAGTAGGGATCACCTTCTGCTGTCTTCAGTCCCCTAAAGAAGAACCAAAAACACAAAATGAAAATCATACACACAAATTAAGTTGTGTCTGATGCACATTTCCCCTGTTAAGAGCATGCGTGAAATGTGGCTATCAACTGCCTTGATTCAGAGTGGGAGAAATTTCAGGGACAAGCATCCAGAGATGTGTGCTTACCTGTCTCCAAAAAGCTTCAAGGCCATGAGGGAGAAAATGAGCATACTGAACAGAAACAGGAGAAAGACATAGAGAATGTCAGGAAGAGTATTCCGGATGCTTCGAAAAGCCCTTCGTATCTATAGGGAAAAAATCACATTTCATTTACAAGAAGTCAGCTTATTTTCTACAAAGGAAAATAAAACAACACCAAACCATCTGTATCATAAACCATATCTTTACCTGACGACTATCAGGAAAGTTAATTAGGAAGACTGGCCTTAATGCCCTTGACCATCGAATGCTGCTGATGTGAAGAGTTTCCAGGGACCCATAGATAATCAGGTCCATCAAGGTCAGCTGTGGAAGGCACAGGACAAAGATATCAGAATAACAAAGGACTGTAGAAACACAGTCACCTACCTAGAATGTGGCTTGGTATTTCAGAGAGCATACTTCGAGTTTTGCTTTCTGTAGATGACTTTGTTTTAGCACCATCACATCAGTTAGAGAGGCACTCTTGTGGGTTAGAGAATCTTGAGGCACTGAGAGGGTAAGCACATGGCCCTTGACCACCCAGCTCAGCAGGGGAAGAACTGGGACCAGAGCCCAGTCTTCCGTCCAAGCTTCACCATCCATCATACCAATTCATGTTTCCAAGCAATGTATCATTGAGCTTTTTTTTTTTCAGTTTGATAGTCTAGCATAGTAACAGAGGTAAGGATTTCTAGGATATAGAAAACTTTCACTTTTATTGATCTTTTATTAATCTTTTAAAAATTTATGTTGTAAGGACAAGACCAAAGAAGAGCTCAGCATATCTGAGGAAAATAGAAATTAAAAAAAAAACAAAACCTACCATCATGAAGCAATGTGATTCAGTCCCTCTGGCTTACCACCAGAGGAACCCAAGAGATCCTTCAAAGATTGCCCACTACAGGGGAGATAAACAGATAAAGTCATAGACACAGACACAGTCACTGTCATTAGACCAGCAAGGACCAGAAGGAGCCAGCATGGCTGGGAGAATGGGAAGAATCCACAAGGCTTACACTGTCTGGAAAGGCTTCATGGCAGACAGTCCTTGATGCAACCTTAAAGAAAAGACTGGGTTTTGAAAAGACAAAACTTAGAGCAAGGGCCAAGCTGGAGGACACAGTAAACAGACATGTTTAAAAAGCAAAAGTCTTGGGAGTGAGGTCAGAGGGAAACAACAGAAAGGGGACAGTGCCTTGAGAACTGGGTCCTTGAGAACTAGGTTAGAAAGACAGATCTTATTCCCAGGACTTGGAGGGGCTAGTTTATACCCTGTTCTCCTTGACAATTGACACACATGTCTTTAATGACAATTTAAGGGTCTGTATTGTGTCACCATTTATTTAGCATGTTATCTATTGTGACCATTGTCAAGAAATTGTACTGTTTCCAAATTTTCAATATCATGAACAACTCAGCCACCACCAATTTCATGGCTGTACCTCAAGTGTATCCTTCTTTCCTGAAGATAAGCTCCTAGGAATGAAGGTCCAGAGTGCAGGTATATAAACAGTGGAGGCTTTGAAAGAAACTGACAATCCACCTTTCAATAAGGTATAAGGGGGTTTGTTTTCTTTCAACTTTGCTGTCATTGTTTAATAGGCATATGTGTGATATTTCATTGTTGTTTTAATCTATATTTTTTATTTGAATGGACATCTTTCAGATCAGCCATTTTCTTTATTCCTTCTATTTATTATGTAGCCAGTCCTGGGGCTTGAACTCAGGGCATGGGCTCTGCCCCTTAACTTTTCCACTCAAGGATATCACTCTACCACTTGAACCACAACTCTACTTCCAACTTTTGCTGCTTAATTGGAGATAAAGCACTCTTTTACTTTTTAATATTATTGTAAAGTTGATATACAGAGAGGTTATAGTTACCTGAGTCAGGTATGAATATATTTCCTTTTGAACAGTGTCTCTCCCTCCCTCATTCTCTCTCAGTGTTTCCCCTCCCTACTTCCCTCCCCCCGGCTTTTTTTTCTTTTAATTTGGAAGTATTCTTGGTTATGTTAAAATATTTTCACTGTCCTACTGTTCTATGATTGCGTTTTCACTTTTAGTCTTCTTGCAGTTGGGATTATGACATTTGCTATAAGTCTACAAGTTCAGAACCCAACAAATGTGCAGAAGTTTCGCAAGAGCAGCCTATCAAGTCTATGATTTCTACCTGTGCTCACACATACCACTAGACACCACAGGAAACACTCACCACAATGGTTACCATGATGCAGATGTTTTTTGTATCCTTCCAGAAAACCATTTGAGGAGTGATTTTTGCAAAATGTACCAGTCTCCCAAAGAATGCAGTGAGGCAGAGCACTTCTGCTAGCGAGGTGGCCTGCAAGAAGACAGCACTGAGCTCAGGGTGGCTCTGCTGTTAGTTCCCATGACCCCTGCCATCACCCTGCCCAGTGCCCACCAGAATAAGCCAGGACCCTTAATTTTACTGGAAGTTGTAGAAAAGTTCTTTGTTGGAGAGATGTTTTCTTCCTCTTCAAAGGAAACCTGCTACTGAGTCGCATATTCCATGACTTTTTAGAAGGACTATAACAGCACCTGGGGACCAGATACATCTCCCCAGAAAAGGAACTTTAGGTAGGAAAGAGACAGGCATCCTCCATGCTATCATATTCCCCGTGCTCTGAGTCAGCATAGGTGTCTAGAAGTCCATTTCTCAAGCAGGATGGTAATTCCCTGGTGTGGTTTGAGTATGTTCCCCCACGAAGCATTTGTTAGAAACTTAATTCCCAAAGCTATCTTCTCATGGTGGAGCACTTAAGAGGTAGCTAGGATGAGAGGAGGTCACGAGGGTGAAGCTTCATGATCAGTGGTATTAGTGGTTTATGAAAGAGGAAGAATACTGAGCTAGCATACTTGCTGTCTCCTCATAAGCTGCCCACCCTCCGGCATGCTATGATGCAATAAGAAGGCCCTCAGCGGATGCTTGGAACCATGTTCCTCAAGTGACTTCCCAGCCTCCAGAACCATGAATTAAGTAAACTTCAATTTTTGGATTAATTACTTAATTAATTTAGCAGTAGGAAGTAGTTGGGGTCTTGTCCATGCCAGGCAAGTGTTTTACCACTGATCCACATTCCCAGTCTTTCAGAGTTTTTGTTGTTTGCTTTTCGGCTTTGCTTTGGTTTGCTTTGCTTTTGATTATTTTTGTGGGGAGTTTTTGATGTTTTGTTTTGAGAGAGAAGGCCTTACTATATCGTCAAATCTACCCTCAAACTGCCTCCCAAGAGCTGGGATTACAGGTTTGTGTCCCCACATCTGGATAAAGTTTGGTTCTTTATAAATTTCTCAGTTTCAGACACTTTGCTATAGCAATAGAAGACTTTTCCCAAAGATGGATCTGGAAATGGTGGGAATTCCTTAAACACCACCGTCATGCAAACCTGCTGCCTTTCTTTGGCTGGTTCGAGGAGAGGATGAAAGCCAATGATACACAGCGAAATCCTGACTGGGCCCCCTTCAAATTCCCTGCAACCAGCTAGCCTTTTATCACCCATTACACAGCCTATGTTGGGCCAGAGATCTCCATGATGTCCAAGATCTCCCTTACAAGAGCACTTTCTTCTACCAACAGGAAGGAGCTGGTGGCAAAGTTGGAAGGGATAGGAAAGGTACAAGTTGACTAGCCCAAGAAGAAGAACAATTCTGAAATGAGTGCTTGAAAGAAGGGGCTAACCTTGAGCCTCACAGGTCATGGGCACCAAATATGCAATAGTCCCTTATTCACTGTCAGCTTGCTTACTCTCAAAAGGCTTAGAAGCTTGAAACAATTCTAAGGACATCCCTGCTCTCAACTAACCTTGTGTGGTCATGCTTGAATGAGGCCAAAGCCGTCTCAACATAGTTGACTTCTGAGTCTCTAGCACAAATGCAGGATGAGAGAGCTCTGCAAGCCAGGAGGCCAACTCTAAAGTAGCACATGACCAACTCCACTGACAGGGTGAGGACTCAGGAAAAGAGGAAAATGAGAGAGATGATGGCACTGTGGAACTATCACCTTAGTCAGGCCATACAAGTGCACAAGAGGGAACAGAGAGAAAACAGTCTGTCCAGGTGTTAGAATATACGACTCTGCCTCTGTAGGCTATGTGTGTAGCAAGTCCTGGAGTAAAAGTTTTCTACCCAGAGACTTCACTAATCTATATAATCTTTATCATAAACCATACTTCTGGATTTTACTTTTGTGTCTCAAAATATTAATCTTCATAGACTACAGGAATAATAACTAACCCAAATTCATTTCTCATTATTCTAGAGGCTGGATGTTCAAGCTCAAGGTGATCCTAGATTGGGTTTCTGCTGAGGGACCGCCTCTTGGTTCACAGATAGCTTTATTTTTGCTGTGTCTGCCTACAACAGAAGGAGCAAGGGAGGTCCCTGGGGTACCTTCTGTGGTATCCCACACTTACCACCTACTCACCTCTCAAATACCATCTCATTGGAGTTAGAACTCAACATGAAGAAGGGCTGAGGCCCAAGCATTCTTTTTTTTTTTTTTAATAAGGAAGTTTTAATTTTTAAGACAAGATAAATAGCATTAACATATCCAGATACCAAAGCAAAAATTCACTGAGTCGGAGTTCCGGGAAGATGGCAGAGGAGAAGCTTGAGGCTAAACAAGCTCTCGCATAGAAAGCAGTCTTAGTGTTCCAGTGAACAGTTCTAAGCCAGAGAATCACACCAAGTGTGCCATCACAGTACAGAGAGTTAGGCCAGAGAGGGAAAATCCAGGCAAGGAGACAGATCTGAGCACTTGCCAGCAGCCGTAGCTGTGGCGGCAGCGGCTGTAGCTGCCATATGTGCAACACAGAGAGTCTGGGACAAAGGCGCCAGACGCAGTGGGTGAGCGGATTCTACTCAACACCAGCAAGAACTGACAAGGAGCAGACATCTTCATCCTGCAGATTGCAGACCAGAGACAACTGAGGAACCAAGACTCCGGCATTAGTAGAAGCCTGACATCCTCACTCCTTCTCAGGGAGCAGAGGAAGGAAGGCCACCCTTCTCCCCCCCCCCCCCCCCCCTCCCCAGTACTGGAGATCTCCATCTTTGATACTGACTAAAGCCTGGCTGAGCAGCTAGCCCCAACTCAGGCCTTGGAAGAAAACAAAAGTCATTTAGCAGATCTGCCAGCCCCAGGAGTGGCTTTCTTCACTGGGTAAACAGAGCCAGTGGCTACCCCTCCCTACAGCAGCCTTGACAATCAATTGAAATTCAGTAAACATAAACCCTGAGAATGGCTCCAGCCTGAGCTCTGTGAGTGTCTCAGAAGCTAGCCCTTCAGGAAAAAGCTACTGTTTGCTGAAAGGCCTCAATTCTACCCAGAACCTAGCCTCATCTCAGCATCTCCAAACTAGAAGAAACAGCCATCTCCATTTTTTGTGATACTCAAAGCAGATCGCCCTCCCATTGAACTAGCCTGGGAGGAGGATCACAAAATCCTATGTAAAAGAGACCATTTTTCTGCCTGCTCAAACAAACTGACTTAAGAAACCAATCAAGCCACAGGAAAATCAAACACCACAAGCAGACTAGAGACTCCAACGAAAGACTGGTTACAGACACAAGGGAGATATAGGATCTTCCCATCCCTTCCAAAAAAAAAAAAAAAAAATCAAAGAAATTTTTTTGTAGCTTTTATAAAAAAAAAATCCTAAAACTTTTTTTAAGTTTTAATTTTTAACTTTTTAAAAAAATTGTTTTCTATTAATTTTTTTTCTTCCTCTTATAATTTTTATTTTAGAGGTACGTGTGTGTGCTTTTTTTTTCTTTTTTTTTTTTAGCTCTACTGACCTTTTGATCTTTTCTTTTCTCTTTCTCATTCTTTTCACTTTTTCTTCTCTTTTCGTTCTTCTTTGCATGACTTAATTGCTGTTCTGCTCATCCTCAGATATGCCCGTAGTCGATTATTAGACCTTATCCCCCATTGTGTACACACGTAATCCAGAAATTTATTACTCAATTCAAAGCCTCTTAGACTTGAATTCCTTAATAGCAGTACTACCTCTTGATACCTATATAGTATTTTAAGCATTTTTAAGTTTTTCATGTCTCCTTTTAAGCCCTCCCCTTCTCTTATCCTATCCCCATTCTTCTCTGAATATTACGTTTTTAATTTGCATAATTTTTAATTGTTTCACTTTTTAATTTTTAATTTTTGTTTTTCTATTTTTTCTTGTCTTTCTTTTTTCTTTCTCTTTCTTCTTTTTTTTCTATCTCTCTACTATCATTCTATCCAACCTATTTCCCGCTTTGAGATTAGGACTTAGTTAACTCTCCCTCTGCCTTTCCACATCTCTCTATTCCTATTTTTACCCATATCTCTCCCTAAACCTAATAATTTCTGGTTTGCCAAATTCTTCTTTATGGTTCGTAGTCCATTAACACATAGTTGTTTGATGCTGAATAGATATATCTGTTGAACTAGATTGTATCTGCAGACTTTTGACTGTACAACTACAGACTTTGGTTGATGCTTGCCTTAAGATAGTGTTCTAGCACAAAACTGGTGTTACTTTCATCCCAAATGGGCAGAGCAAGCTGGAAAAACACAAGAAAAATGGCAAGTCTGGGTATCTCAACTCCCACTCATGATAATCAGGGGACAGAACAGATTCATGAATAATCCAGAGGAGAGTTCCCAAAAAGCTCTACAAACACTACTAGTAAACATGGTAAATGAAAAGATTGAAAACCTGCAAAGGACTCTGTGTGAGCATGATAGGGAGAGAGAGGAGGCAAACCAAAGGTCAATACAGGAATATCATGAGCATGAGGAAGCTACTCAAAGATTGGTATGGGAATTGTGTGAGCAGGTTGAGAACACTCAAAGAGAAATAAAGGAATGGCATGAGCAGGCTGAGATCAGTCAAAGAGATAGACAGGAATTGCGGAGCTGGCTGAGAACAGACAAAGAGAACTACAGGAATTGTGTGAACGTGAGGAAGCTAATCAAACAGTAATACAGGAATTGAGAGAGCAGGATGAGAATAGACAAAGATCACTAAAGGCATTCATGGAATCCATAAACAGAGAGCTGAAAGAAGTCAGGGAGACCATAAAGGAAATGCTGAATGGAACCTAACAGAAGAAATGGGAGTCCAAGGAAACCATAACCAATCAACTAAGTGATTTGAGAATAAACACTGAACACCAAATTAAGGAAGTAAAGAAGTTCATACAAGATCTAAAACAAAGCTCCAACAAAGAATTTGAAGCCACCAAAGCCAACCAACTAAAAGGTAAAGAAATAAAAAACAAAGTAGAAACTCATGATAGTAGGTTAGACCATGCAGAAGATTGAATCTCAGGGATTGAAGA